CCATTTCTCATTTTTGTTTATGTTTTCTTTTATTTAGTTACAAATTCGATTTTCCATTTTGCATCAACCTTCTTGCCAACCACTTTGAGCCTAATGTTTCCCATTCTTGTCTCAACCGCATTACAAGCCTAATGACCTATGTTTTACCAACCCTGTTAGTTAGTGAAGCATTTGGCATGTGAGGGTAATGTAATGAGCGTTGTGATCATGAGTGTGAATTAAATGGAGAGTTGGTTTGGAACAAAGATTTTAAATGTAAGCTTGAATATGAGCATGCGAGAAAAGCTTAAGAAGAGTGATGCAAATGCAAAATATATATATATATATATATATATTTGAAATTGGTATATATTTGAATAAGGTTGGTAATGTGTCGAAATCGAAATGACGGATGTTCGTTTGAGTTGTGGTTGTTTCTTGAGTTTTGTCTAAGAGAGTTGGCCATTCTCTTGCTTCACTTAGGACTTGCCACCACTTTTTCAAATGCTCTCCCTACCTCTACCTTGAGCCGTGTTATTACAACCCTAATAAAGACCCTTAGACTCTAGGAGTGCGTGGTCAATAACCTGTGGAGGGAGATGGTTTTCAACCCTATGGAGAGAGCATGCATGGTTGAGATGTCGAGATGATCTTTTACCTCCTCAAAATGAATCTTTTTTCGGTTCCTTCGTGGAATCATGAGGAGCCATCTAGGGGGACGATTTGAAACTAGTGGGGAGAACGCATACCGTTTTAGAGGGGACTAGGACGGAGAATGACTCACTAGCTTAGGCTTGACTCTTGAAACCATTGGCATCTTGAAGCGTGCTTGCATCATGTAATTGAGAAGGGCTAGTATTCTTTGACGTTTGTTTATCATGGTTGAGTCCGAATAAAGCATTTGTCCACCCTAAAACTTGATATTGCTTTTCTATGCCTTGCCACATTATGTTTGTCTTTGTATTGTTTGTTTCGTTTTTCTTTTCTTGGTTTTGCTTGAGGACAAGCAAGAGGCAAGTGTGGGGGATTTTGATGAGTGGCATTCATGCCACCATTTCAACCTCTTTCACTAGCGAATTCCCCCAATTTGTCACTTGTTTGCACGTTTTCTTACCGTTTTTACTCCTATTTCAGTCACTTTAGCTCCCTCTCGTGTTTTTCGTTTCCTTTTATCTTTTCTTCTACTTTTTACCTTCATTTGTGTGTTTTGATAGCTCCTAGAACTCGTGGGCGAATTTTGGATTGTTAGACGAAGTGGAGTTGCTAAGGAGGCTCGTCAAGGGAAGAGGAGATGCTGCAAAGGAGAGGGCGCGCTGCTCCAGCTAGCCGCAGGCGCGGGCCTCACAGCCGCGGGCGCGGACAGGGGGTTGCTGAGCTATGAAGCAGATTCTGGAGATGGCTGGAAGATGGTCAGCCGTGGGCCTCACGACCGCGGGCGCAGAGTTAAAGGCCGCGGGCGCGGCAGAGAAAACCCGCGGGCGCGGCAATCTGGGCCGCGGGCGCGGCGCTCTGGGTCTAGCGAACTTCTTACCCAGCTTGGAGAGGGCGCGACAGCCTTTTCGGAGAGCCCTCTCCCTTGCTCATTTTCCTCATTATAATATAAGACTATAAATAGTCTTGGGCTTGAGTTTTCAATCATCAACCAATTCATTGCCTTCAAAAACACTTTGTAGAGAGAGAAAATGCATGTCTTTTATAGAGAGAAAACACTTAGTCTTCAAGATTCAATCTTTGTAATCAAATATTCAAGCTTTCTTCTAGATTGTTGCAACTACTTTGATGATTGGGTAATCCTTCAACATTTATAATAGTAATCTTTTCTCTTATTTCTCTAGTACTTAGTTTTATTGTTCTTATTCATATTTTCTTCATAAATTTTTATGCTTTATTAGTTTTATTGATTTCTTTTTGACTTAGAGTCATGCTAGGTTGTGTTAGTATTGAATATATGTTTAGCTTATTTGTCATGGCTATTTTCCTTTCTCTAGCTTAGAGTTTTAGCTAGGGAAGGGGGTGAAAATCATGGCTATTTGAGTCCCTATTGATTATTGATTGGATTTTACCTTGAGTTGATGATTTGTGCTTAAATATGCTTGGAGTTATTGTGTGCGCCTATAACCCCAATGTTTTAGTCCTAGATTAGATGCATGAGAATGATCTAGTTTAGGGTTAATTGATTTCATCAACTTGCTTCGAGTAGTTGTGCAAATGAATTGCTTTGAGTAGAGTTTGAACTCCTTGGTATATTTCCTTATTGATTTTCATTTGTATCTTGTTGGTCATGATTGGAACCCCCTCTCCCTAGTGCTTTTTGCCAATTTTACCTTTATAATCTTGCTCTTCATCTTCATTTTAAAGTGTCTAGTTTAGTCTTCTTAATGTTGGTTTAATTTAGTCTCTTTTGATAGATAGTTTGATCATAGAACTCTTCAAAAACCAAACCATAAAACCCCTTTTTGTTACTTGCAATTTATCCTAGATTTCGTATTGATTGTGCAATACCCCCGTTTCCTTGGGATTCGACCCTAACTTGCCACTATCTAAATTAAAATTGGTAGAGCTAGGTTAGGAGATAAAAATTGTAAATTTGATCTAGGTAGTAGTAACGACCTATTATCCATCGATCAATACTTCACCTGTCTTCCGTTTTGCACAAAAAGGTAAATACTGTCATAGACCCTCTGCATTTCTGATTTTTGTATGTTATTGTGTACTACAGGGGTAAATATATATAGAAGAATTAGTATTGCTGTTTTGATAGATATAACTGATAAGTGATAATGCTTTAATTTGCTTCTGAAGTCCTGATTTAATAATCCATAGAAATGATGATGATTATACTTATAGCCAGCTTTAGGTTTTGTTCTCTACATTGTTTACAGTCCTATTTCATTCCATTTTAGGTAATTGATTTTTAACACTTTTACCCCATCTTAACCACTGAAGGGCCCACTTTTTCCCACATGCTTACATTTGCCACTCTTAAACTCATATTTCCACACTTTTTTCTTTTCTTGGTTCCTATGCAAATAGTAACTGTCCAGAACATTAAGGAACGGAATTAATATTCAATTTGCCTCTCTCTCTCTCTCTCTCTCTCTCTCTCTCTCCCTCCTCTTTAGTGGTAATTTCCTACTAAGTTCTTATGTTGTTTGTTCCAGTGTACATAAAATGCAATTCTTGTATGAAAATTTATTTGGCTTTCTTAAGCATCGCTGTAGTTTTTGACAGCTTGATGTGAAAAAGTGAGTTTAATGAACTGACATAATGTTCACTTGATGTGATTTTTTTTTTTCCAACTAACAATTATGCTGTTTTATTTTGTTCTAAGATAAGCATTCTCGTCGAGGATTGCAAGCGAAGGTACAACAAAGGAAGAAGTTGAAATATCTGAGGAGAACTGACTGGGAGTCCTATTGCTTTGTTCTTTCAAAACTTGGCCTCCGTGACAATCCTGATTATAAGAATTAAGATTTTATACAACTATTAAGTTATTGTTGCGGTAAGGAAATTTTTGCCTTTATCTTCTTGGCTCCTATATTCAGTTCAGAAGTCCTTTTTTTTATATTTAAATCAAAGGCACTAAGACCACTATCAGTAGTGAGGAAAAAAAAAACCTCTCAATCTCTCTCTACCCACTTTCTCACTCCTCCCATACAATTTCTCTCATCAAATGTTTTTTTCACTACATCAATGAGGAGAAAAAAAAACCTCTCATCACTTTTTCCTCCACTATTTACTATACCCCACCATAATACACATCATCTTTTTATTTTATCTTTATTTTGAAATAATGTTTATACTACATATTTAATTTTCCAATACAATTAAAATATGTGAAAATAATTTATTTTTTAATTACGTTTAAAAATAATTTAATAAAAATGTATAATTTAATAACAATTTATAAGTTTTATATTTACTTTTCAATTACGTTTAAGAATTTATAATCAAAATATATCAAAATGCATGTCTATTTATAGAGAAAAAAAAAATCTATCCGTTGGTGAATTTTGTTTTTTTTTTTTATAATTACAACGGTTATATTTACCTTACAAAAATATAACCGTTGTAATAAAAGCAAAAAAATCTGATTGGTTGGAAGGACAAAGCCTGACGCGTGTTGCATCCCCATTGGCTGGGTCTGACGCGCGTCAGGCCAGCTACCCCCTTTTTTTTTTCCCTTTTTCCCCCTCAAAACGGCGTTGTTTCGCCCTTCTTTAAGGCAAAACGACGTCGTTTTGCAAGCCAGAAAGGAAAAAAAAAAAGGGAAAGCAGCGTGTACATGTGGGGCCCACCGGTTACTGTTCACGAGTATTTCCCCTCAACTCTTGTGCGTTTTCCATAGCTCTCAACGGTGAGGGTTTTTTCCCTCACTAACGTAATGCTCGGGTATTTTTTTTACACCTTTATTTTTACTCGTGAGGGCTTTTTTCCTCACTGCCGGGAGTGCTCTAATGGTGGCTGAGATTAGAATTATTAATGCATCCTTCCATTCTGTCTTCATTTGTATACAGTACACGAGGTGTTCCAAAGTTTTCATGTAATAAAGTTGAGTGTAACAAACTAGGAATATCAAGTCTAGCCAACGAAAGTCAGATTTTTTGGGGGATAAAACAACATTTGCAGAGTTAAACTAGCAATATCAAGGAAAGAGTATCTCTAAAGGAGGGGAGTACACTAATAAAGGAAGCAAACAAACTGATAGTCCCGTCTTAACAGAAAAAAAATTGAACACTAGCCTGGGCCCTTGAAGAGCATCAGAGGGCGATGAGGCTCACCTTCTAGGAAGGGTATCTCCACGCACCCCACACATTATTTGCCAAGGCCTACTTACATTATTTACAAGCTAACACATTCCTTGGCTAGAAATCTGTAACCAAATTATATGAAATGTAAATCAACATTGTTAAGATGAGGTGAAACACAAACAGCGATGCTAGAATCACTTATCCCTGCAGCAACGACGACTAAACAGGCAGCAATGTTTTCCAGTCAAATGAGCACGCGCGGTCCTTTTTCTAAAGAAGTGTACGAAAAGCTAACATTGCTCTTTTTACACCATCAGCATACTCAACAACTAAATCACGTTGAACTATGTCTACCTGGAGCAAGTACATCACCATTATAGCAACTTTGTCAATATATAATCAAATATTGATCAAATTGTCTTTTATAAAATTTAAACCTACAAAATCACATCTTAGTGTACAATAACTATCATAGCACATTGTAGTATAATATTATCCAAAAGTTTTGGTAATTTTATTTTTAATGTAGATAAGCAAATTGTAGAAAGGTTCGATAACATAATTAGGAACAGGGAATCAATAACAAAAACATAAAGAGTTGGAGTTACCAAATGGGGCGGAGACAGTTTGCTTTGCGAGATGACTCAAAATTCAAGGCGTAAATTGGGGATGTGGCTTATTTTAGAAAAGTCTGTCCCATTTATTTCATCATATCTTTCCTTCAATCCATTGCACGAAAATATATCAAGCACTGTGAGGGAGGGGAGGATTGCTTCTGGCAGCGAGTTCAGTTTCGGAGAACGAGTAATAGAAAGTGACCGCAAAGACTAGGGGCAATGAAGCCACTCCGGGTGGGTTTCATATTTTCACAATCTTTAATACAGAGACTTTGAAGGGAAGTCAAGTATTGAATGCCCTTTGGTAGATCTATCAACTGTGGAAGACCAAACAAGTTCAAGTTAGAGAGGGCGTGAAGGTCTTTCCATGGAAACCCTTTTTCTTCTTCCAATTCCAGGTTAGGACAATACTCAATACAGAGGCTTTTCAAGTTGGTGAGATGCTCTATTCCCGACAGACTCTTTAAGTTTCGGCAACTTTCAAACTGTAGACTACGAATGGAAAATGCGTACTTCCGATGATACTCTTCTTCAACACTCGACAAACTCTCCACCTCCATATGACGCAATCTGAGTTTATCAATGCTTCGTATAGACTCCCCAAAAAGGGACTTAATTAATCCTAAATTGTCTGTTTTTAAATCTCGCAAATCAAAAACATCAACACCAGCTGAATGATTGTCGTTGCTGCCGCTTGAAGACGAGGCAGAAAATGAGGAGGCAGCAGGGGTGGTTGCATTTGCTTCATCATCTCTTTGTTCACAAAATGTAAATGCTTCATTCAGGTCCCGCAGACTAAGACCTTTCAGACGTGGACATCTAGGAAAAGACTTCAACCTAGGACATCCATCAAGTAACAGTTGATCAAGTGACGGAAACGAAAGTGCAACATTATTATCAGACTCCATCAGCTCTACATTGGGAATATCTACAAGATGAAGAACTTTCAGATGCTGGAGTTGATTCATTGCTGGCAGATGCTTCTTCCTCGGAATTCATTGAATCGTATGTATATCCCTCTTTAAAACTAACTTCAAGTGTACCTCTAAGGTTAATTAGAGGTACCAAATCTCTTAGTTGCCCCGTCTGGCCTTTCTTGGAACTTTCTGGCCCAAACACAAACCTTGTAAGGGTACGTAGACCAGTCATACTATCCATTCCAATGGGCATATGAGTCAAACTAAGGCAATATGTCATCTCCAAATGCTTAAGATTGACTAGTTCCCTCAAGTCCTTAGGCAACTCTTCTAGCCTATAACAACATCTTAGGTTCAATACTTGCAAATTATAGAGTCTACTAATTGACTCGGGAAGCGTCTTCAAATACATATTGAAATAGAGATTAAGATACCTTAAATGCAAAAGGTTCTTTATTGTACTTGTTAAAGCTTTTATCTTAAGCTTGTGCAAGTCCAACACCCTCAAACGCCTGCAGTTTGCTAATATTGTGGACACATGTGATTCACATTCCAGCCAATGATGCCGGAGAAGCGTACGCAATCCACTCAATTTGCTAAAAGTATCACTTGGACTAAGCACCAGAGAGCGCCTAACTAAAATAGCGAGATGACGAGATTTTCTATCAAAAGGGCTTTTGCTAGTGTCCTCCATCAAGTACGACTCCTTTCCTGCAATTTCTTGTGCAAGATCATGAATCAAATCATGCATTTTACAAGAACCTATTTCACCATGATAATATTCAACATCTTGGAAAAAACATCTCTGCAATAAAATTGAAAAATACTCCTCACCAACATCTTCTGTGTTTTGCATATCATTGATAGGTTCAAGATACCCTTGTGCAGACCATAGACGGATCAATAACTCTTTCTGAATCCCGTAATCCTTAGGAAGAGTGCACAATAAATAAAACAACTCTTTAATTGTGGCTCAAGGTAATTATAACTAAACTTCAATATTGGCATTATGCTCTATTCACCTTGGACCATTTTAGACAACCCAATTCTCTGAAAAGATTTCCACTTGCTTTTCTCTTGACCATACAACATGCTCCCCACAACCCTTATAGCCAAGGAACATTTGCACATTTTTTAACGATGTTTTTACCAAGGTCCACAAGGTCATCATCAATCTCTCTACTCCCTAGGTTAAATGCTACTCTCTTAAACAAACGCCAAGAATAATCATCTGACAAACCTCTCAATCTGAACATTGGATAGTCTCCTATAGCTCCTGCCACCCTTTCTGAGCGTGTAGTCACCACAACTCGGCTTCCTCTCGCACCTACTTGCAAGAAGTCTCTCAACTTGAGCCATTCATCACGACTTTCGTTCCACAAATCATCTGGAATAAGGAAATATTTTTTCCCTTCTATACAATGTCTCACTTTATTCTGCACCCCTTCAGCTCCTATATCACCATGATCTTGCTCAGTGGCCGACTTCAACATCTTACAAAGGATTTCTTGCATGATGAAATCATCAGAGACACAAACCCACAACTTCAAATCAAATTCGTCATTAATTCTAACATCATTGTACACAAGTTGAGCAAGAGCAGTTTTGCCTAGTCCTGCCATCCCGACAATACTCACAAAAGAAACACTATCAACCGAAGAATCTGATTCTCTCAACAACATACCCATAATCTCCTCCTTATCAGTATCTCTCCCAATAATACTATCTTGATGGACATAAGACCAAGTTTCCTCTTTTCTCTTAACTGGCCTATACACATCACTAAACCCAAACTGAGTATGATCTTTAGCAACACCATCTAGCTTCTTTCTAATCTCCTTAATCTCATTACATGTCCTAAAGCGAAAAAGCAACTGATTTTCACTAGAAAAGAAAGCGTGTACCTTTTTCGGAATCTTACTGCCAGGCATCCTTTTATGTTGCTGAGCAACCGTGGCAAACTTGTCGAACAAATCATCAGCTTCATAGACAGCATCCTTGAGCTTGTTAACCCACTCCAACCCCTGATTGTTGAGCTCGAGATGCCGGGAATCCGCATCAAGGAGGACTTTCTGGATGGTTTCGACGGTGCCTCGGAGTGCCTCAAGTTGCGAATCATACTTAAATTTAGAGTAGAACTCTTTCAATTCCTTGCATTGTAATGCTGCAAATAGAGTTTGCGCAGCACCCAACACCATACCCACGGCCACCTCCACTGTCATGATTTTTTTTTTTTTAATTTTATTTATTTTTTTTGCAAAAGAGAGGATGAGAATAATTATGATGAGATGGTATGATATAAAACTTGCTAGAACCACAACTGGCTTATCCTTTATACAACTACTTGTAGACGTAGTAAAGTGTTGGGAAAATTCTCCAGATTTTGGCCAGCTTTTTTTATTTTTAATTTTATTTATTTTCTTACAACAGAGAAGATGAAAATAATTATGAGATGGTATGATATAAAAATAGAACCATAACTGGCTTATCCTTTATACAACTACTTTTGTAGACGTAGGAAAGTGTTGGGAAAATTCTCAACAGTTTGCCCACTTTTTCCACAAGAATGATGAATAGATTTCTCCATATACCAACGACTACAATAATTAAGGTTTTAGGATATAATTTAAATAAATTAGCGGTTGGAATGATAATTGAAATGAAACTCCAAAAAAAAAAGGTCCCTTCTTGCTCCAATCTCTACTCCATATGCCCTCTACATACATACGGCCAATTTGCAATTTAATTAAAAAAATAAAAAAGATAAAATAAGAATGAAGATAAGGTACATCCGTACATGGTACAAGGCTATAAGGTACATGATGATAAAAATGAAAAAAATAATTTCAAAAAACAAATTTAAATGAACTATTAAGGTGTATGTCTTATATATAGAGGTGGCCAGTTGGCCGGGTTGGACCCAGCCCACCCTAACTCGCACGGCTGGTGGGTCACGTGGGTCCGACCCGGTTTCAATCCGGCACAGCCCGGCACAGCTCGGATTTAATCCGGGTTGTGTCGTGGGTCCAAAATTTTCGACACAACCCATTTCAACCCAGCTCAGTTTAACCCGTTTGATTCGACCCAAATCGCACAACCCGTTTTGACTCATTTAATTCGACACACCTAGCCCGTGAACCCACCTAACCCGACCCACCTGGCACAACCCAGCCCGCACGGCCCACCCGCACGAATGACCCACCCAACCCGCACGAGCCAACCCACCTAACCCGCACGCATGACCCACCCAACCCGCACGCATGACCCACCCAACCCGCACGGCCGGCACAACCCGCACGGCCCGCACAACCCGCACGGCCCGCACAGCCCGCACAATTCGCACGACCCGCACGGCCCGCACGGCCTAACATCCATTTTAAAAAAAAAACGGCTAGTTTTTTGTATCTAACGGCTAGTTTTTTGTATCTAACGGCTAGTTTTTTAAGTGTATGATCATCCATTCTATTTTTCCTATAAATACCAATTCCATTTCACTCAAATTTCCACACAAATTCAAGCTTTCTTTCTCTCTTACTTAAAAATTCTTATTGTTCTCAAATTCTCAAGTGTTATATAGAGTTATATTTTTGTTAAAAAAAATCTCCTTAATATTATTATTAGTATTCTTAAGATTCTAAAAAAAAAAAAGTTCTTCTCCATATTATAATTAGTAATCATACAAAAAAAAAATGAGCTCAAGAGGAGGAATGGGAAGGAGTCAAAGTGGTGGTCGAAGTGGTAGCCAAAGGAGTGGTGGTGCAAATTTTTCGTATGAAATTAATACGGAAAATTTAAACCAATTTGTCAATGAATATGGAGATTATGGTTTAGGAGATAGGCAAAATATTCAAACGTCTCCACCACAACATTTCTCCCACGAGTCCCACCAATCATCAAGTTCAACTATGCCACCTCCATCGCAACCAACATCTCAACCTTCATCTCAAGGTAATTTCTAATTAAATTTTTATTGTTATGAATATTTAAAAAAACTATTATTAATGATTATAAAGTTAGTTTAGTTTCCAATTTTCTATGATTTACAATTAGTTAATTACCATGAAAAATGCGTTTAAATAAGTATAATTAAAATATTTAAAATTTAAAAGCTTATTTTCATGAATAGCATTTAAAAATTAATTTTAATAATTTGATTTATGAAAGGTGGTGGCGGTGAAAGTAGAGGTCGAGCACATTTTTCTTGGGTGTGGAAACATTTTGAACGAGTTGAGGTCACACCCCCGGGATGGCAACCTGGTCAACCAAAGAGGTTCACGTGTACATGCCTAGTTTGCAAGGCGCTAGGTGCAAATGTCAAGTCATATAATTGGAAAACGGGAGATGGAACCGGAACCTTGAGTCGGCATTTGCAAAATAAACACGACTTGTTCGAAAATGGCCCCCGTCCTTCGGGGGGTGGCGTCCAAACACAATTGGGTGGATACATGAACCAACCCGGCGGAGGTACACCTTTCATTTATAATAAAGATAAAATGATTGATGAAATGAGTACTTTAGTTATTGCTAATGAATACCCTTTTAGTTACGGTGAAAATGCAAACGTTGAGCATTTTAATAAAGTTGCATTACAACCTGCATTTACTCGTGTCCCCCGAAATACCCTAAGACGTTATACACAAACTTCTTATTATAAGTATAGGAGTGGTTTGATTGAATTATTTCGTACTTTTGATGGTCGTGTTAGTTTTACAAGTGATACATGGACTTCTAGTTTTGGCGAACCTTTTCTTTGCATTACTGCTCATTGGGTGGATGATGATTGGTTTATTCAAAAACGTATACTATGTTTTCAAGCTATGGAAGAAAGGCATACCGGTTTTAACATCAAAGTTTGTATTTTGGATTGTTTAAAAGAATTTCACTTGAATAATAAAGTTTTTTCTTTGTCTCTTGATAATGCAACTGCAAACACAAAGTGTATTGACTATTTGAAAAATGACTCCGAGTTGAATTTGTTGTTGGGTGGTAGTCTCTTGCATGTTAGATGTTGTGCTCATATTTTGAATTTGTCTGTTCAAGAGGGTCTCGCTGAGTTGCAACCATTGCTAAACCCAATTAGAACAGTTATAAAATGGATTAGGATTACTCAGTCAGTTAGAAGAAAGTACATAGCTATGTGTAAAGAGAGAGGTCTTAAGAAAAGACAATGGTCTATTGATACCCCTACCCGTTGGAATTCTACTTTCAAGTTGTTGAGTGATGCTATAAAGTATCGTGATATTTTGACCCAACTTTACAATGAGACTCGTGTTGATCCTACTGAGTTAATAACCGAAAGTCATTGGACTAATGCTTCTTTTGTTCGTGATGTTTTAAATGCTTTTGATAGTGCAACTCATATTTTCTCTTATATTTATGAGCCTAACGTTCATTTAGTCATAATTGAGTGTGTTAAAGTTGTTCACACCATCGAAGAGCATATGAAGATTGATGGATTCGTCCCGTTCTTGATAGCATGAAACGTAAGTGGCATACTTATTTTAGTGAATTTCCAATCATTTATGGAATTGCTGCTATTCTTGACCCCGGTGTCAAAGCTGAAGGTTTGGAAAATCTTTTAGAATTTTATTATACAAGTTTAAGTATCGATTATGATGTTAGTGAATATATTAACAAATGCAAATCTGTTTTGGGAGACCTTTATGATCATTATGCATCTATTTATGGTTTTGATTTGGCAACACCAACTACTACTAGCACTTCCGATTCTAGATTTGGTTTTCTTGATAAAGTTATGAAAAAAAAAACACAAAGCATCTACATCATTCTCATCATCATCTTCTTCAACACTTGCTATTAATGATTATTTGTCATATCAACATGAGACCAACAACAACTTTCAAATTATAAAATGGTGACAAGAACATAAAAAAAGTTTTCCTATATTGGCGAGAATTGCAAAAGATATACTTGCAGTTCCCGCTTCATCTGTTGCTTCCGAGTCTGCTTTTAGTGCAGGTAGAAGAGTGTTAGATGAAAAAAGATCTCGCTTAACTCCGGAAAGCATTCAAATTTGTGTTTGTAAGAAAGATTGGGATCAAGCTGAAAGAAGAACTCAAGGTTTAAAGGAAGACGAAGACGATGAAGATGATCCTGTGATGATATTGGAGTCGTCAACGGATGATGCAGCTTCCGGGGATGATGATGCAACAAACATGGGTGGCTAGAAAAGTCTAAATCAGGTACGCTAAGAACTACGTGGGCTTTGATTCTTTCGGGATACGTAGGCAACTTATTTTTCGAAAATTACAATTTAATTGCAAAATTAAATTTTAGTTTTCTAAAGATAGGTCCAAGCCCCCCCCCCAAATTTCAAAAGAAGTACAATATAAGAACTACGCTGGCTTTGATTCCTTATTTTATAATATAAGGATACGTAGGCATCTTAATTAAGAGCAAGCCATCAAATTGTTAATTTTGTAAAAATTAAAACACCACACAACCCACCCGACCCTAACCCACGAACCCACCCGACCCTAACCCACAAACCCACCCGACCCTAACCCACCTAACCCACAAACCCACCCGACCCTAACCCACTAACCCACCCGACCCTAACCCACCTAACCCACAAACCCACCCGACCCTAACCCACTAACCCACCCTTCGACCCACCCTAACTCACTAACCCACCTTGACCCGTCTAACCCACGAACCTAGCTCGACCCACCCATGACCCGTCTAACCCACAAACCCAGCTCGACCCACCCACGATCCGTCTAACCCACAAACCCAGCTCGACCCACCCACGACTCGTCTAACCCACGAACCTAACCCTGGTGTGTCCAACTTCTCCGAACCAACCCACGATCCGGCCCACCCTACCCTACGTGTGTCGTGCCGTGTGTCATGAAACCCCAACCCGCGACCCACCTAACCCTAACCCAGCTCGCACGACTCGCACGGTGGACACCTCTACTTATATACATAAGGTATATACTCTTACAGTGAGAACCATATAAGTTACATATTACAAAGATATAAGGTACATGATAAAAATATTTCAAAATAATTTTTTTGAATTATTTTCAAAAAAAAAATTAAATGAAATATTAAGGTATACCAATATATGTCTTATATACATAAGGTATATGTCCTAAAAGTAAAGTAAATGTCCGAAAGGTATAAAGCACATACCCTATATGTTTTTTTTTTTTTTTGTGAAAAAGTACATACCCTACATGTGTGTAAGGTACATAAC